ACGCTGGCTCTCTGCTCAGCAGCTTCTCTCCTTTCCTTCTTCATCCCTTGCAGCTCTCACCCTGCAGGAGGCAGGACATGGTCTCACCATAGCCAACTGGCAGAATAAAAAAAAAAAAAGTGTAAAATAATAAGATGATAGAAAATATATTGGCATAAAGAGCAGGTTTGCTGCAGAGCCTGTGAGCAGGTGAAGCAATGAGGGGGGTGATGAACACAGGTGGGACCTCCTGGAGCAGGTTAGCACACAAGAAGAGGGTTCTGCATGGAGAAGGAGGTACATGCCAAAGCAGTGATGAGACTGAGAGAGGCTATTGCATTCCTGGGCTCTTCAAGGAAAGTGCTCTGCCTGCCAAGAGGGAACACCAGGGATCTGTTCCCAGTGCTGGAGAGTGGGTTTTATCCTGGACTCAAAGCAAGGTTATCCCCCAGGATTGCCCAACAACTGAACTTTTCCCAGACACCCCCAAAGTTCAAGTGGTGCTGAGGTCTCACAGATCCCCCTGGGCAGGGGCTCAGAGGTGTGTTTTGTGCAGGTATCAATACACAGTGGGACAAGCCTTCAGTCCCAGCCTTTTGTTAAATCTCTGAGAGATTTCTGCCATCTAATTTTGGCCAGGCTTGTCATATTTTCAGGGATTTAGGGGAGCAGTGACTCCAGCTGGTGTGGGTGAGCACTGCAGCTCCCAAGGCACCGAGAGCCTCGACTCAGGCACTCGGATACTGATACACAGAGAGGTATTTAAGAACACATCAGAGATGGTAGATTTTAGCCTCTTGCCCTTGCTCAGCACAACTCAGTAGCAGATAAAGAAGTCTCCACTGTCAGATTTGAGTTTGATTCTTTTCTACTGTATTTCTGTGTTCCCTTCCCAAAGTCTGGTCCTTCCTGAGTTAAGCTTGGTACCTGTGTGAAACCAGGGAAAATGATTTCCAAAGTCTCTCAGAACATCAACAGCGATGAGAGGGACTGGCACTGAGCTCCTGGGGTCACTGGTCAGTAATGTTATCACCTACTGACCTTGCTGGTTTCTAAACCTGAAACTCTTTGTCCTTTTCCATGCTGATCACTACAAAGGAAGCTTCTCCCACAGGAATGACCTGCTGTTGGGTCAGAGCTGGTTCTCCTTCATGGAGCTCTGCCAACATCTTAGTCCTCACCTGAGAGACACAGCTTTTGTTTTTGTCCCCAGGCATCCTCCAAAATGCCACCAACTGTGCTCAGCTGTAGTGTGGCTTGTGGAGATGAGAAAACATGTAATGAAATGCAAACCAACATTTCCAAGAGCATTTTGGATCCGATCTCAGTCACGTCTCCAAATGCAGCATTTGTCAAAGTGGGACTGTCACTTCTCCAAACCCTAAAACTATAAACCAGCATGATTTATGGGTTCCACAGCACTACAAACCCAAATTCCTCGTGTCAGTGCAGAATCATGCCTCACACGTGCCCACATAACCACAGGCTGCAGCCCACTTGCCACTAAAAAGGGAGGAACAGAGCCACGACAGGCTCAGAGAACACTTGAGTGACTCAGAAAACCAACACCATTTGATTGCTGTAAAGGTAGAAACATCATCCACTGCTGAAATACTTAAACCTGCAAGGTCACATTAGACACTTCTCAGGGTGCTCACCCTGCTCCCTGCAGACACCCCAGGCTGGGGACACCCAGTTTGCTCCCTGTGCAAACACCCAAGTGCCACCACAGCAACGGTTCTCCTTCATTCTTCTCCCAGCTTATCTTCTCCCAGCTTTGGAGTGCATTCTTCCTTATCTTGGAGACAAATGGCCTCCACAGAGAGCTCTAAACAGCAGAGCAATTTATCTGTTTGACATGTGTTTCCCTGTTTGTTTTCTCCAGCCTTGAGCCATCGGCTCAGGCTGTGACAACACTCAGCTGTGGCAGTGGCAGAGTTGCTCAGCCCCTTCACTCGGTGCTGTGAATCAACCCCTTTGCCATATTTATCATTTATTGCAGTAAATCAAGTCTAATCGATGCTTTCTTCTTTTGATAGAGAGCAAAGCCTTCACAAGCCTTTCAAGTATCAGTTTGGAATTAAGAAAAACCAAAAGGGAAATATTTAATCAATAGAGAACTAATTGTTAATCTGGGGAAAGAAAAGGTAGCAATGTCCTGTGGGTCACACAGTCCCATCAAAGAAAAGGAGAAAAAAAAGAAAAAAAACACTTTGTTTTGCTATTTCTGATTGTTTGCAATATTTCACTTGCTGCTTTTAACACCTTATTCTCAAAGCATTATGTGAACAAGCCACAAGTGCTTCATCCTTCCCAAGCAACTCCTGGCTGCAAGGGCCTCTCTCCTCCTCAAACACATCGTGTTGGGAGGGGAAGCCAAGGCCTGAGAGCACTGGATTCACCTCCATTCTCACTTTCCAGGGCTCTCTTACACTCAGGCAGCTCAGGACAGCAGGAGTGGCACTTAGGCCACCAAGAGCACACACAGGGCTGTAGATCCCTCTCCTGCTCCCCTTGGCAGGAGCAGTGCTCCAGGGTGGGGAACAGATCCCTGCAGGGCCTCAGGCAGAAATCCAGGCTGCTCCCATTCTCTTCCCCAGCAGCTTTCCCTAGAGACAGCTCAGACACCTCTGTGAGGACATAGGGCTGGAGATGGGACCTTGTTTTTGCTTGGGTCTGGCTGAGAACAGAGGTCTGTGCTGTCCCAGTGACAGTGCACAAGTGTCAGGATGCTAACCAGAGTCAGCTCCCCACGGGCACCTCAGCTGCCTTCAAGGGAGGTCTGCACCTCTACCACAGCACAAAACTTGTCTTGACTTGTCTATTTGTCCTAAATCACTAATATAAAGTTCACTGAAAACACAAGGCAAGACACAAATTATATTTCCAACCGAACTCTGTTTAATCTCTCGTTCCAGACACCTCAGACAATACACTTTCCCCTCCTCCAGCAAAATGCCTCAGCATTCCCCCCTCAGGCTTAGCTCATATTCAAATTTATTTCCAGCAGAAATTTTGTCCAGACACTGCAGTTCTGTTCCCTTTGGGCTGATTACAGTGATGAGCAATCAGTGGACTGGGTGAGGAAGGCACAAGAAACAAGAATTTTAAAGCCAACAAAACAGACTACATATGTATTGAGTTCCTCATATACTAACAGATTTCTAGCCTGGAAAAAATGCAGAACAATGCCTATGGATCCATGCAAATAGCTCCTTTACATGGATTTCACTCCTTATTGGAGTTCCATCACTTCTTTCACAGCAGCTTGTGTGACTGAGGGGCTAAGGGTGGTGATGGAATTTGGGGTTTGGTTTTCCCAGGTGTTTGTGGCCTCAGTTTTGGCTAGAAAAGGTTACAGAGCTCCACTTTTCCTTCAAAAGTACCTCTGTGTGTCCTTTTTGGGGAAGCAAGGCTTGTCTTTAATACAGACACTGCTCATCCTGAGCTCTCTGGGTGTGCTGGGTAATGCAGCCACAGGTGAAATTCTCATCACCCAACATGGAAAACCTTCTCACCCCATCGCTACAAAGGTCACATAAAATTGCTAACAATCCATTTCCAACAATCAACATTCATAAACATAACCAGAAAACAGAGTTTTGGAAAAAGGCAGACAGGTTTCTCCAGCCCATGTTTAGGGAGTTCCAGAGATCCCACCTGTAATTTGGGGAAGGTGGGAGGACCTTTTTGTTCCTGAAGTGCATTTTCTCCCTCTCCCAGACATGTGCAGTTCCAGTGTAGATTTTACTGCTGGCATTTAGAAGAGTAACTGCTCCCTGACACACAGGATGGGAAAGGTTTCTCCCCCAGGGAACAGAACACAAAGACTGATTAAGGGACCAGCAGGTATTTAAGAACATAAAAAATACTGACAGATCAGGGCTGCAGCTCTCACTGAGCAGGAGCTGGTACAGGAACAGAGCTCACCTGCTGCTTTCCAGCAGGGAATAGCACTGGGGGAGAATAAGTCCTTAAGCTTAGGATCTTTACACACCTTTTAATAGCAGAAGGGTTGAACAGTAATCACTGCTTGCTCCTTCGCAGGTGTCAATCAAGTGCTCCCATTGGGTTTGTGCGCTGAACCAAACCTGAGCTGCATGTTCCATCCTTACTCTCTCCCAAATCCTTCTGTAGAGACTGAAGAAACTAGTTAACACAGTATATCAACTGACTGGATCATTTTAATCTTATAAAGACAAAAAAGAGTAAATGAGTTGGCCAAAGCTAAGTGCCAGACCAACAGGGTTTGCTCTCAGTCCTGTACTCAAGACCCACATACCACATTGTTCCTTCACTTTGGTTATTACTGTGGTGGTATTAGGAGCACAGGCAGAATGAAACATGAAATAATTGGCATTTCTGTTCTTCAAAGAGCAACACAAGTGTCCACAAGTGGAAACAGTCCAAAAACAGCATAGAAAAATAAATACAAAACAAAACTGCTGAATTAACTTATAAAATATAAGTAACTCTTCCACCTCTCAGTTACCTCAGCCTGGTAACTTGTACTGCGGACAAAATTTCCTTTATTTTGTAAAAAAAATAGAAAATATTTCCACATTTACAAATAATTTGCCATCACAATTTAGAGTTCTAAACTTATCACCATTATTTTTGAAGTGGTTGGCTATAAAGCACCTATAAAAAGTGCCATAAACAAATTAAAACAAACACAATGAGGATATTTTGCAAGTAAATCCCAACCACTAAAGATAATTAAAGTGATGCACTGCAGTTGTATTTGATTAGGACATCATTCTACCACTGAATAAACTTAAAGAAAACTGTTTCTAGAAGTTTACTGACATGATACATTCTCATGTCAAATCTGAGACTCTGCTGGATCAGAGAAGACAAATAAAATTAACTATGAGGGTATCTCTCACACAGTTGTATCAATTCCTTCTCAAGCAATATTGTCTTCCAGCAAAGAAGAAAATCCTCCTGCAGCTCAGGATAGCATTGGGACACCTCAGAGCTGTGTGCTGGTGGGTCACCCTGGGTTCTAACATGCTCCTTTAGTCTTCATCTTCATTTGTGCTGCAGAGGAAAAGCAATGGGTTTGGCTTTGAGGACAGCTCCAAGAAATTGTCCTTCCCACTAGTATCTTCAGAAACTCTGTCAGGTTCAGGTTTCTGGTTTTCTTTTTGTTCCTGTGCCATGCAGCTTGCAGTGGCCAATCCTTCAGGCTGCTCTGAGAGCCTCATTGTACTGTGCATTTGCTTTTCTAATTCTTCTATCAATTTCCCAGTCTGAGATGGAGATTGCCCAGAAACCTTTGATTTTCCATCACTAACCTCCAGCGCAGAAGTGTTTGTGCCCTGCCTTAATCCATTACAGTCACTAAGTGGAGCTGTCCTCTCCCCTGGAAGTGTGCCTTGGAAAGAATTTATTTCCCCATCTTCACTGGTCGAGGACTCTCGCTCATCTGAATCAGAGCCTTCTGTCTCAGATGATGAAGTGCTGCTTGATTCCTCAGAGTCACTTGTCTCCGACTCCGGCAGCTGTTGCTTGGAAACTGTGCCAGCAGCTTTTAACATGTTCTCTTCCTCCAGTACCAGCACTGCTGCTGCTTCCAGCTCCTCTAGCTCCAACCCCAAGTGGGACTTGGTGAGTGCAGTTTTCTGCAAGGATTCAGAGAGTGCAGCCAACTTTTTTGACCTTTAACAAAGAACAAGATGTGTTATTGAACTTTACAGACAGAACTTTCCCATTTGATAATGAGAACACGAAGTCTTAAATGTTTTTGCTGTTTGCTCGGTGTGCAAACAACTTCCTTCTTCAGTCCTGATTCTAAAAAGGAGATGCTACAGGGGGACAAGAGTCAAAATAATTCATAACTGCAGTTATTTTGGGCAAGTTTTCCCACAAAGTTAGGCAATGTCCCATTAAAATCTTTAATGATACTTTTCAGATGCTTCAGCTGTGAGAACAGATCTGAGAACAAACCTCCCCAAGGTTTGCTGTCTGTAGCAGCACCCTGCAGCTTGTGGATGGCTGGATTAAGCTTACATGCAGCAAAATCATCCTGGTTTTCTACCTTCTTAAATCTATCTGTTCAATGTGTAGGAACCACCAGCACCTGCCATCTCAGTGATCTATTCCCCTCCTGTCCCAGCCAGTTTGGTGCACCCATGACTGTAGGAGATGCTCAATGCTCTGTGGATGTGCTTCACCTTTCAGCTGGAATCCAGCTGAAATATAATTCAACAGAAATAACAGGGCCATTTAGATAGATGCCTCTAATAAAGCAGGAACACCACATCAGCTTCACCTCTTTGGTGCAGCCCTATCCATTTCCTCCAGTGTTTGGGAGTCAGCACAAGCTTTACCAGAAAAGTGCATCATGGATTTATAAGCAGAGAGGCCAAAAAAAAGTTAAGAGAGTGCCTTGAAATGGAGGGGGGTGAGGGGCAGAGGGGAAAATGGGTATAAAATAACAAACATACATCCTGTTTCTTGTTGTAGAGTTTTGCCTCAGACTATCAATCAGCTTTTCACCACTTCCTGCAGCAGCAGGTCTGCTATAAATCCTGCAGCAACTGACTGGGTTTCATTTCCTCTGCCAAAGCTGCTAACCTGCAAGGCATGACACACTGACACTGGAGCAAGGAGCTCAGAGTGTAATACATGACTCCTGCGAGGCAAAAGTTAAAGTGCTTGTTCTCTCAGCTGAATGATTTTAAAGATCTTTATATTCCATCTCCCAGGGGGCATAATTACTCAGTATAACAGAGATGCTTCCATGGGTTGTTTTTTTTCCTCCCAAAGGAATTTTATTTTTAAGTGGGGGAAGGGAAATCCAGTGCAGCTTCTTAAATGTTTTACAGACAGTGCAACACTTAAAAACTGAATAGAACACACTAAACTTCCTTAGTTCAACCCAAAGACTAGAAAACTAAGAAATAACTTTCCCAGAAGTGAAGCAACAGAAAACAATTCACATGTCTAGGATTTTTAAATAGAAAGCTAAGAATTAAATCACAACATCATCCTGGCAGCCTCTAATATAAAGACAGGTACCAAAAATCTGCTCACTTCACATTATTCTAATCGCTTCTTCTTGGAGATTTATTTCCATTTTAGTTTTGTCAAAAACTTGAAAAGTTACGGAGGATTTGAGAATTGCCAACTTAACTGGGAACAAAGAGTTTTCTCCCTGCCCTGTCAGTAAAAAGCAAGGCAAAGAAGGCAAGTGATGCATTGAAAGGTTCATGGAGCCTTGCAGGTAGGTGGGGACAGAACTGCAGGGAAATCTGCTTCCTGAACACACTGGGGAGCAGCTGATTTATACCCCAAGTCACAAGAGTTTACATTCCTTTCAGAAAGCATTTTGCTTTGCTTTCTGAACAGGCTCTTTCCTTCCTTCTAACTGTGTGTACATGTGTGTCCTTCCTCTGTGAGAGCTGCTAACAACACGAAGGTACAATCCTTCCTGTCCTACTGCCTCACTGTTCACAGCAATTCCAGCTCCAAAGGCTGTGCCTTGTGACAGAGAACACTGTTTTGTCCCCATTTTATATGTGGTTCTCTTTAATTTCACTGACAGCCATAAGCAACTAAGTCACAACCTCCTCTGGCATTTCCCCTGCTGACACACCTACAGCTCCACCACCTAAGTCTCACCTGTTCTACTTCTGCCATTATAGCCAGAAAATCCATTTGCAAAGCCCTGTTTGTCCTCACACTTCTGTCATCTCTGCCACTTTGTTTCCCAATTCTATATGTATTTTCTGCCTTTTTCCTCTTTCTGCCATTCTAATTTTTCATGCCTATTTCCCCTGCTGAATACTCTATCCTTATAAAACCCTCTCCACTTCTGTCACTGTTCATTTAGGATGCAGTTTAACACATTAGATACAGAAACATATCACACATCTATTAAGGAGCAGCAAGTATGAAGGAGATGTAGACATGATGTGCTTCTTTGACATGAACAAATACTTCACCATGCTCCAGATTACTTCATGACAAAAGGAAAAAACTAGCACAGTGATAAGACTCATTGGACTCACCACAGATGATGCTGGTCCTACTGACAGATAACAAAATAGTCTAAAGCAACAAGTTGGGCTTTTAGCTCTTGGCCACATCAGGTATTTGATGTCTCTGCTCATTTCAGGGATTCAGACCCAACACACCTTTAAAGGTCCTTTCCAACCCAAACTGTTCTGTGATTCTATGACAAAGTCTCTTTTCAGTTACTCAGATTTCTTACTAGGTGAAATGTGTCTTCCCAACTTTCACTCTGGTCATCAAGTCACTTCCAGAAGAAAACTACAGAGCTCCACATTTCAATGAGAGACACACTCAAAACTGTCACCTCTTGATAAAGTTATACATAAAAGCAGAAAACTTTACTCCCCGACTTTGCAATGCTGTATTAAAAGATAAAGAGAAATTGGAGAACATTTTTGGGTTCCTTCTCCCCCTGTGCAAGGGACTAAGAGAATTAAAGGAGATAACTGATAGCTAATTGTAAGGCAATTATCTCATTTGAAGGAGAACTGAGTTTCGGGAGTGCATTTCACATCAGCCTTAAGAAAAGGTGGCAGAACTCCCTGGACAAAAGACAAAGCAAACAGCCTCAAAATCAGAGCATGGAAACACTTTCAGTGGGAGACTGTGGATCTCTGAGCTAATCATTTCCCAACTGAAAGATAAGCAACAAGTCAGGAAGCAAAAATGAGACCCCAGAAGTGATATCTCAGGTGTTAGACTTGCATTAAATAGGTCCTGCTGTTTCCCACATCTTTGGAGTAGTGTTTGAGAGATTAGACAGCAAATACTTTAATTTTTCAAGTATGATTAATGGAACCCACGATGACTTTCAGACATGCTCACTCAGTATGCACATTTGTGGTAATGATATCTTATTATTATGGTAATAGTCTTCTTACATAAACATGCATAATAGGTTTTAAAGGTGCTACACATGATAATTATTAGTTATCACCATGTCAGTTGCTTAAGGAAAATGTTTAATTACAGGTTAAACTGATCAGATGCATGTTTTGTTTAATGTATAGCTTTGAGGAACAGATAACAGAGGCATCTCGGGGCTTGTCCATGTAGTCTGGAATTAAAATTCCAAGACAGAACTGCAGTAATCCTTGTCTAGGCACAGAAGAGTTTCTTCAAGTGCTAGAAGAAGAAAAAAAAAAGTCTTGTTCTACAGATCTTAGATTATATAAGAGTAAAACTGGGCTGAAAAGAACAAAGAATCAATGGAGATTTAGCAAATAAAGGGAGATGGAGAAAACAAGGAGGGGAAAAAAGAGGATTACAGCAACAGGAAAGGGAAATCATTACAGGTTTACAGCAGGGGCCACCTGTGGCAGCAGGAGGAGAGGTGATGGTGATGAGCACTGACTGCAGCCCTGGGACAGGAGCAACAGCCACAGGGTGGGAGAAGAGCAGGACACGTCTCCAGTTAAACACAAATGCTCCCGTGAGCTCGAGTTCTGCCTCCTGTCCCAAGGAGTACAGAGGGCACCAGGACCAAAGGAATCAAGGCAGCTGTTATCTCCAGAACATAGAGCTAAGAGAATAAAGTCTCACAAAAGACATACATTAGGGATCTGATTGTTTCCAAGGAAGATTTAACATGAGCTGGAAGGAAAGACAAAAGTCAACCTAGCCACTAAGAGCACAAAAAAAACCTTGGGGGGGATATGTCCAGCTACAAAATCCTCTCATTTTTCCTCAAATATTAAAATAAAAGCAATTATGCTTCTGTATACTATGTCCATCAGTCAGAAACAACACTATGAAAGGAAAGGTTTAAAGAAAGAGGGACCAGACCTTTCCCTCTGCCTGGTACTTGCCTTACATCCATTTCTCCTGCTTTAGCAGTTCAGTTATGCTAGAAAAACCAAACAAACAACTCAAAGAGAACTTGAAAACAGAAAATTCCACTGATTATTCTGTATGATGGGTGGCACTGCATACTCCATCATGGCAGGGGAGTTATATATCTAAGACACTGTGCAAAGTATTTGCAAACAAGGGAGTAAATGTTGCCCAGAGAGGCTGTGGGATCCCCATCCCTGAAAGTGTTCCAGGCCAGGCTGGATGAGGTGTGGAGTAACCTGGGCTAGTGCAAGGTGTCCCTGCACATGGCAGGGCATGGAACAAGACAATCTTTAAGGTCTCTTCCAGCCCAAACGTGATTCCATGCAACAGTCACACTGGCAGCGCAGCCTCTCAAAGCAGGAGTCAGTAACATTCCACTCTGGAATGAGAAGTGACTTTCCTCGCACGGGCACAGGCTCTAGCTTGCTTTTGTTTCTGTAAACAATAGAAGGATTATTTCTCCTGCCTCATCAATTTGGCTTTGCATTTCACAGATGTATACAAACATCCACTGCTGGGAAGTACACGGTGTAAACAAGGTGTAAGACAAGGCAAAATCCAGCAGAATTTCCTTGTTATCTAGCCTGGCTCAGGCACAGCCAAGGCAGTGACAGCACAGAGCTGCCATGGCAGATGGAGCTGGTCCTGCCCAAGCACAACAGAAAGGAAACAAAGCATGGGAACCTGAGTATCACAAACACTGACAGCAGCTTTGCTCACCAGCCTGGTGCCTGAATGTGACCTAACTGGTCTTGGAGCCAAGCTGGAACCCAACTAATCTTGGAACCAACTAAACTCTTGTTGCC